AAAATAAAAGTACCTGCCGGTACTTTTTGGCTTTCTCTTGACGTGTAAAATAAAGATGACCGTGTGCGTAAGGGACGCGGGGGGCGAGGCAGGGGGGTGGGGAAGGAGTGGAGAGAAAAATTCAGGTTACCAGGAGGTCAGGCTTGGATGTCTGCAGCCGAGATTCCCAGAAATCTGGAAATGAGGTCTTTTAAGTGCCAAAGTAAATTTAAAAATAAAAGCGAAACATGCAGTGGCTCATTCTTCAAACTTCACTCGCAGCTGCTAGGACCCCTGGGCTCCGCCAGCGCCTTCCTGCCCTCCCGGATGGAAGGTGAGGGCGTAATTGCTGTCCGCGGGGCCGCGAAGTGCAACTCGGGCCGCGCGCTCCGAGGTCTGCGGCCGCCCCTCGGGCTCAGCGAGTCGCGAGTCGGTCACGGCTCTTCTCCGGGCTCGCGTTGCCTCGGGTTTTCTCTTTTCCTGCTGGAGGCGTTGTTCGGATTTGGCCGGTGTGTTCGCAGTGGGTTCTGGTTGCCTTTCTCTAGGTGTAAACCGCTGGAAGTTGTTTGATATTCATTTCTGCTTCGTAATTTATACTTTTGGCCTTCACAACATGGGTTTCAGTGTGACGAAGTCGTTGCTTGCGTTGCATCTGGGGTGTCGTTTTAAGGATTCAGGGTTTTTCTTCTCCTCCTCCTCAGGTCGCCTGTGCAGATCCCACTTTCTAAGTCGTCTCTCCCTCCTCCCCTCCGACGTCTGTCTCTGTCTCTATCTCTGTGTGTGTCTCTCTCTCTTCCTCTCTCTCTGTTTTTCTCTCTTCCCCTCCCCTCCCAATTTCAAAATCTCTCTCTCTCTCTCTCTCTCTCTCTCTCTCTGCCTCGCCGTTTCCTGGAGTTATTTAGTTTATGAATGGTCCCAGGGCCTTCCTGAGGGGGGTGGAGCTTCGGCTCCTACAATCGCTAGGCGAGCTGTCAGTGCTGTAGCCAATCCCAGAGAGAAGACAGGCGCGCTGGGCGAACGGTAGCTGCCACCGCTGCACTTGATAAAGAAGGGGTACCGAGAAGTGAGCGAGGAGGAGATAGCGGGAGTCCAGAGCGCGCTCCCGTTTACAGCCCCCTCTTCTTTACCCTCCTCTTATCAGTTGCAAAGAAAAGAGAGTCTGTATGGAAGGGACTGTCGTGGAGATGGCTGGGATGCGAAAGGGAGCTTAGCAGTGGTTCAGCAAGGTTGACTTCCTCCCCTTGGGTTCTCAGGGTGCAGAAGAAGGTGCACGCGCTAGCAGAATGACTTTGGATTGAGAGCAAATGGGAGGAGGGAGAATCTGGGAAAGGACCTAATTTGCCCAGGTTTTCTTTTTTCTTTTTTTTTTTTTTTCCCCTCCCTCTTCTCTCTCCCCTGTGAAGTCTTCCTTTCTTCTCCCCTCCCCTCCCATTGTTACCAAGAGCCAGGGCGACTGCCGTATTTGTGCTCCAGTGGAGGGTGGAGTGGAAGGAGGGTGAGGATTTATGATTCTGAATCTCTTTTTAGTAATTTTATGTGCTGCTGAAAAAAAAAATGGGGGAAGAAAGCCAGTCCAAGCACCCTTCTTTGATAATTATTTCCTAATTAAGACTCGGATACATTTAATGCCATTATGTTATGGTTTCGAGAATTCACCATTTACTCCAGAGAAAATATCTAAGTTGTGAGCAGTGGTGTGAATGTTTGTCTGGTAGCATTTAGAAAGGTCCACTTTGAAACTGAAGGACGATACCGAGATGGTCTCAGACCAGATGAAAATGAAGGGACTAAGTGTGAGCCTGATTTAAAGTTGTTTTCCACGGTTCCTATTGTAAGTCTAGTTTTGAATATATTCTCAGGTAGTGGAGCTTCATTGTAAAATGATTTTATTTTCATAATTGACTCTTTAAAAGACTTCGCTGCTACAAAAATCTATAACTGTCCTGTTATTGATTACACAGACAGCTTCACTCCTCCCTTGGCATTTCAATGAAATGCACGCGTGTTCTCTTGGTGTATGTATTATCCTTAATAAGCTGGACCCAGGGTAGCCTGCAGGTTCTGGGCGAAAAAGAAAAAAGCTGTTACCATTGTGTATGGAAGGCTTGTGTTAGAACCTAAGGTGTCTGGATTCTGAGTCTTTTTCACTCAAGTCAGGTAGATAGGGTTGTTTTTAGTTTTTGGTTAGGAGGTTCTATTCTAGCCCTGGGTTATCAGGTAAAAATTAAAGTCTGTGAAGCCCTTAGGGCGAAGACTTCGTTTTGCCAAACCCCGGTGTTGCGACTTGTGCAAAACCCCGGGAGGGCTTGACTTGGCCCTTTTAAACTCCTGCCAGGTGAACCTGAATTCAGTTGCGTAGGGTCAGTTCATTTCTCTCCTTCCACTTGGCGTCAGGCAGTTGGACCTTTGGTTCTTTGCTACAGATCTGGTGCGGACCACTGGCCACTTGTCACCTCTGCACTGTCGTTGCAATAGGTCTCTTTCTAAAGAACATACATATATATTCATAGGTAGTCGTGCGTGTGTTTGTGTGTGTTTTAATCGAGTAGGTCTTATCGTTTAGGGTCTGTCTTCAGTGGCGAGGAACGAGGAGAGCAGTGGGGAGTTAGTTAGGGTACGCAAACTCTGAGCTCAGGCAACTTCTCCGGAGTGGCAGGGACCCGCGGCAGCTGAGGCTCCAGCCTCAGGGACAGCGGCTTCCCTCCCGAATGCTTCGCTGCTGAACGATCCGGACGAGCCGCAGCGCCTTCGGAGTCCGCGCGTGCGGGAAGCCCACACCCGGGGTGACCCGGCTGCTCCCCGGGAGGCCACATCGGCGCCCTGGGCAGAGGCGCGTTTGTGCGCAGAGCTGCGTGGCCCGCGGGCGGAGGACCCGCAGCCGCTGCTCCCGAGGGCGCTTGCTGGGCGGAGACTGCGGGCGGGTGGAGGGCGCCGAGCTTTCCCTCCCCGACCCCCAGCCTGGCGGATCACCGTCCCCTCTGGGTCGTGAGTGGCTGAGGCCTACGACGCTCCGGGAGTGCGTGTTTGCAAACAGCCTGAGTCGGTCCCCGAGGCTCCCGTGCGGCGCCGCCCGGGCCGCGGTGGGCGCTCCCTAACCGGGACGGGCCGCCCAGGCTAACCGGCTTCGGCCACCCCTGGCCGGACACCCCGCGGCCCCTCTGCTCCCGGCTCCGCCTAGCCAGACCAAGTTTTGTCTCACCCCTGTCCCAGCGGGTTTTTTTACTCCCACCTTGACAATACGGAGAAGGATGATAAAACATCACAAATGTTTTGATTTAGAAACAATTCATTACCAATTTTCCCCGTCCAACGTAGATGCCCTAGTAAATAATAAATCAGTTAAACAAAGGCGACTTTAATTTATGGCCGCGGTACTAATTAGAAACATCATTGGAGCAATAAACTTAAACACTTCCAGCAAATAATGCGCCCTCGCTAGTTCCTTCCTCCCCCTCCCCCACCGGGCCCTCCCGGGCCCTCCCGGGCCGCCCCTGCTCCCAGCAGCTTCAGCTGCGCCTTTGCGGGTCCTCCTTCCTAGGGTGAATAATTGAAGGGGGAAACGGTATCCGAGGAGGCTGTCACTGAAGAGCCCCTGTCACCTCTGCTTTTATGTATGTTAGTATAGAAGTCCATCAGCAGCTCCTTGATGGTGTATTAAAACGAAGTGGCAGCCCCTTCTGCAGGAGATAGCGCCTTCTATTAAAGGAGACCGAAGGAGAGAAAGAAACTCCGGAGGCTGAAAAAGCCACTTCAAGTCTTCAGACCGATTGATCTGTATTCTCTTGTTATAATCCGTCTCATCATACTTGAGTTAATGAGGCAGAGGAGGGGGAGCGAAATCTGATGGTCCTTGACAAATTCATTAGGGAGGCTGCAGGACATTTTATTTGACTGTTAAACATCTTGTTTGTTTGGTTTAGGCTGTGCCAACGTCAGCGCGCTTCTGCCCAGAGCCATGGCGTTGGGCTGGCTGCGAGGCATTCCCGAAGGCAGAAGGCCATGCAGGGTGGGCTTTGGGTTGTGAGTTAACTCAGAACCTTCAGGCTTCTCTAGCCTGTAGCTTCATCATCCTTACGTTCGTTCGAGGCGTTTTTATAAGAACATAGATGATAATACCGAGATGGGCATGGTTCTAGTTACTATAAAATGTGTCTATGTTGAAAAACCCGAGTCAGAAATGTTCCCAGTTCTTTTTGAAAAATTGAGCTAGGTTGTAACAATGACCACTAGTTTGGGGAGAAGTGTGAATGTTTAAGGTCCAGACCAGGCGTCAGGTTACTCCCTTACATCTTGGTTTTACATGACCACGTTGAAAGGAGCTTTTAATTATTAATTAAATTTCCTCTTTCACTGGAACCCTTATGAGTACAGGAACTAGGAAATGAAAGATATATAACTACTTGTATCAATGTATTTTGTAACAGATGGTATATTTTATTTGAGGACCTTTCACATTTAAAGTTAGAAGTCACACTGGGTATCTGTCCTAATAGAAGATGAAGAATTTTCAGAATACTTAAAAACTGAAAGTACAATATTTCTCATTGAAAAATAGTGGCCCCTTAAGCTAGAATGCTAACCTGATATTTTATTCTCAGAATAATACAGTATTTGAGTTTCTCCGAATTTTCATGGAAAAAAAGAAAAAGTAAATAACCCAGCTGTGAAACTTCCTCACATAGAGAATTCAGTTGTATTTTCCTTGAGCACTGACTTACCTCACTTAGTTTAAATGCTTTCAGAAAGAATCCTGTCTTCCATTTATAGGAAAACAGTATGAGAGAGAGAAGAAAAAATACAAACTAATGCCCTTGCCTGTCATTTTGGCCCGTTCCTGCTCTGCTGATGGAGCTGGTGCTGCAGGGAATGTATGGATTTGAAAAGAAATGA